GGTACCGGGAACCGAACTCATGACCTTGCGCTTGCCAGGCAGGCGCTTTTGCCGCTGAGCTAAATCCCCAGCCCCCAGGCTGGCCTTGAGCTCACATTGTAGCCTGGGCTGGTCTCAAACTCCCAACTATACTCGTACCTCAGCCTCCCGAGTGCTGGGATTAGAGGCATGCATCACCATGCCCAGCTCATATTGTTTGTTTAGTAAAATGTTCTGTCATTAACATTCTTAGAAAATAGGCAAAATATTAACTAAGTTGATTTGTTCAAAGTTGTCTTCTGTACCACATTTGTTAAAACTTCTAATTACAGTTAGGAAGAGCAGTTGGTTGTTTTTAATCACACACCTGTGCTGCTTGTTTTTATATTCAGAAATAGTCTACACTGTTACATGTTGGTCAACATACCACTAGTAGTGACATTGTTTCTGTGCTGAAAAGATCAGGTTTTGGCCAAGAACTCTTCTTTGCAGATTCGGTTATTTGGCTTTATGTCAGGTGTTTAGTGTATGTATATGAAAAGAATAAAGCCAGGGTAAAGATGACTATAAATAATCTGTTGAAGCTGCCATAGTATAGAAGCAGCTTTTTATATTCAGTACTCAAGGCAAATTTTCCATGTATTATTAGGTATATATGTATATAGGTAATAGTTATTACAGGTAGCATTAACAGTATTTCATAGAAAACGGCAATTTATGCTGGTCTTTGAGTGAAATTAACCTAACAAAATGACTGAGAGCCAGGCATGGTGATGCATGCTTACAGTCTCATCACTGAAATGGTTGGGGAGGAAGACCTTGGATCTAAGGCCAGCCAGTACTACATAGTGAGATATGGTCTCCATAAAGAAAAAGCATTGAGGGACAGTGGATATAATTTTGTACAGTCACCTTTGGATCTCATTAAGTGTGAAGGAATTCTGTTATTCTTTTATCCAATAGGATGTACAGTTACCCAGCACGTGTTCCTCCTCCTCCTCCTATTGCTCGGGCCGTAGTGCCCTCGAAACGCCAGCGTGTATCGGGAAACACCTCACGAAGGGGCAAAAGTGGCTTCAATTCTAAGAGTGGCCAGCGGGGATCTTCGTCCAAGTCTGGAAAGTGTATGTTTTTTTTGGCTTTGTGATTTTGATGTTTCTTATTTTTAAGTATAGAAATTAGTGGAGTTACAGGGTTGAACTTTTGTGCACATAGCTTTGCACCAACAAAAGAAGGCAGTGTGTTTCTCTTCCCCTGCATCTCTAGTACATGTTACATTTGCAAAAGATCTTACTTGCAACCTGATCCTGTCTTTAGATTTTTTAATTACTTATATTTTGGGTTTCTCATAAGAGGAGTTCTGTGATAGTTCTTATGTGTCTGATTGTCTTTCGTTTAACATTGTGTTTTTAAGGACATGGCTCAGATTTATCCTTTACGACAGGGTGGAACTCCACTGTGTATAAAAATATATTTTCTTTGTCCATTCATCTGTTGATGGACATAGGCTGCTTCTAAGATTTAGACTGATTTTGTGCCTTAGCAGCATGATAATTTTCAGAAAGCTCATAGACTAGAGGCAAGGTACCTATTTGTATGGATGTATGAAATATTTCCTTGTGCACTTCAAGAATTAAATTCAGGTGTATTTCCCCCACTTGAGAACTTCTTTTTAGTTTTCTGTATGGAACTCCTTAAGTGTAAATCAGATAAGATGTATAAAGTGCCCTAAAAGTAGCATTTGAGTTATTTAACAAGCCCATATACAAGAAAACAAAATATTATAATACTAAATTTATTGAGGTGTCATGAGATTAATACAACTATATGAAATGCTTGGTGTTGCTGGCCATTAACTTCCAGACGTTACTAGTACATCAAACTGCTGAAGTGTGCATATATTTTGGGGGGAGATTCTGTAGTTGTGACACTATTGCTAAGGGAAATACAACAGCAAATCAGAGGTTTCCTTTTTTGGTTATAATTGGGTACTGGCCCGATTCTCCCCAGGCCTCTCTTTTTGGCTTGTAGTGTAGTGGGAATGTATTTGGTCACTATTAGATTCTGGTTTAATTCTAATCTAAGCTACTGTTTATGTTAAAGTGAAAGGAGATGACCTTCAGGCCATTAAGAAGGAGCTGACCCAGATAAAACAAAAAGTGGATTCTTTACTGGAAAGCCTGGAGAAAATTGAAAAGGAGCAGAGCAAACAAGCAGGTAATGATATATTTTCTTGTGCATAAAATTAGGTTATTTGCCTAAGAGAGTTGAAAATATATATTGGATTAGTGAAATGTAAAGCAATTGAACAAACTGTGGGTATTTAAATTGAGAAGAACATCTGTGTGGACTCTGTATATCCTTGCTCCAAGAGACTTGTCCTTCTCTTCCTTAGTGGAGATGAAGAACGATAAGTCCGAAGAGGAGCAGACCAGCACCTCCCTAAAGAAAGATGAGACTAATGTGAAGATGGAGTCTGAGGGTGCTGCGGATGACTCCGCTGAGGAGGGGGATCTACTGGATGATGACGATAATGAAGATCGGGGGGATGACCAGGTGAAAACTATGGGAAAGAAAACAGAGGTGGTGGAGGGGGGCCAGGGACACGCGGAGTGTCTCTAACTCCACTATTTGTATCTGTTTCTCACAGCTGGAGTTGATCAAGGATGATGAAAAAGAGGCTGAGGAAGGAGAGGATGACAGAGACAGCGCCAATGGCGAGGATGACTCTTAAGCACATAGTGGGGTTTAGAAGTCTTGTCTCATTATTTCTCTTACCTAGGCGCTTGTTTAAGATCAGAATTTCACCAGATCCTCGCCCCTAGTATCTTCAGCACATGCTCACTGTTGTCCCCATCTTTGCCCTTCCCTGTTCGAATTGCCCTGCGCCTAGTACCACTTTCACTTCCTTTGACGCTCTAGTAGTTTTGTTAAGTCTTATCCTGTAATTTTTGCTTTTTAATTTTGATACCTCTTCATGACTTAACAATAAAAAGGTTGTATGGTTTTTATTAGCTGTCTCCACAATAATCTCGTTATGCAGGGAGTACAGTTATTTCCATTTATACATGATTTTAGTAGTTGCTTCCCTAACTGCAAAGGCAATCTCATTTAGTTGTAGCATCTGCAAGCAGCTTTGAGTTAAGAGGTCTGTGTGTTTCCCCACATCAAGTACTTAGTGGGGCTGTTGAACACATGTAACAATGTATTTTTGTGAATGAGAGTCAGCATGTCAAATGCATCCTCTAGAAAAATTAGTGTAATAGTCTTTTATTTGTTTTCTAAAGTTGATACTGTGGGTTATTTTTTGTGAAAGCCTGATGTTTGGGATCTTTTTTCTCAAAATAAACAAGTCCTTATTAAACCAGGAATTTGGAGAAAAACAACCTGGTTTTTTATTTTTGTATAATTGTTTACTACAAAATCTTTGTTTTACAGCAGCCTCCACAAAACCTTCGGAATGTTGTGTGTACTGTATATTTCTCTTGCAGCCATTCATGTTCGTTGTGCATACTGTTACACACAAGTCAAGATGGATGTTGCATTAAGTAGTAAAGTAACTTCCATGGAGTGAAGATCTTTCTAATTATGACACCCCCAGTTAACCTGTTACTGGAGTTTGACTCTGCCTCAGTCTTGTTATAAGTAGGAAAGCCTTTTCTTTCCTTGTCTTCTGTAGTGTGTGCCTTCCCAGGTAACTGAGCAGGTGATTGAGGGTTCCTACATTTATTTACAACACAGCGACTATATACATACGAACTAATCCTCTGTTGTTACCCCTCAGTTTAATTAATTGCATTGAGTTTTATGATACTGTACCACTTAGTACTTAAATTTCTAAGGATGGATATGTTAGGTTGCTGCCAGAATTGTGATGCTTACCTAGTTGTTTACCTAGTTGTCCTGTGTTTATCTTTTAGTTTTTCCAACATAGTAGGAAAGGAACTGATAATTTGTGTTGTTTATTGGTACATTTTAGGTATACATAGTGATCACATTCATGATAGGAACTGATATTTTAATGTATACACAAACTTTGGAATCCATGTAAAGTTGCTGTTCATAGCATGGTGCCAAGGCACTTGTCACACCCTGCCTTCTGTGGGCAAGAGTCATGTCTTGTTTATGAAGATTTGTGCACCTTTTGTGTACCGTATGAAGCAAAATTGAAAGAAGGAAGAACTAGAACTATAGCTTACCCTTGGACCCCAAATGCATGTTGTAAAGCTATTTTCTAATCGAATGTCATCTCTGTTGAGCTTTCAGCAGGTAACCCTTGACTAGAAAATCAACTGGATATGTAGAAGAAAATTTCAGAAGCCCAGGATGCTAATAAAACCTGTTGAACATTATAGCATTAGTTGTTTATGTTTGAAAGATACTAGACAAACCAGTCCAGAATTCATTGTCCACTTTGGCTGTCTACATAGGACTTCCCCCACACACACACAAAGCAATATATGTAGTTTTTATTTCTGGTTGTTTTTTTTATTACTGTGTTCTTTCAGATTGGTGGTTGCTTTTAATTCTCTAGGAAAGTAGGTCTATTGGAGGGACTTAGTAATCGCAAGAGTATGACCACACTCTGAAAAGTTGGAATACACATGTTAGGTTATTGCTGAAAATACAATACAGTAGGTTGCCTTGGGGAAGAGTCTTCTCACACTAGGTCTTACGGAGCTGTGGATTACAGTAATCTGTATCTAAGAGAACAGTAAAAATGATAGATCTTTTTTTGTTGTTTTTTTCCAGTCCAGGGAATCGAACTCATGACCTTGCGCTTGCCAGGCAGGCGCTGTGCCGCTGAGCTAAATCCCTGGCCCCTGATAGATCTGTTTAATCCGTACTTTAACGTTTACGTTTGTACATCAATGCTCAGCAAAAGATGGTTAAATTACAAAGGGTAAAATGTCAATTGAAATCAAATCATGTAGTTTAGGCTTTTTAAGAAACTTTATTAGCAGTCTTAAAGCCATGGATACATGTAGTAGGGTTGTAGTCATTGTGACATTTCAATCTTCGGCACTAGAAAGTGAGATTGAATCTGGTAGTGCTGTAGGCATGGCTCTGCCAATAATGGAGAAGGAATTGACGGATATTTAGTCAGAAAAAATAGAGAATTTGAGGTAATGTGTCTGTCTCTGTCTCAGGATTTTCCTTCAGTGGAATGAAGAGTTAAAAGGTCTGTGCATTTTTGTTTAGTATGTAATTGAGAGCAAAAGTGTCTTTAACGCCATGAAGTCAAAAATAGAGAAGAATCCTGCAGGATAGCTTCCAGCCAGTTGGACAACCAGAGAGAAGGGAGTGATTAAAAAGAAACTTTACTTTCTGGTGTTGAAGTTTCTAATTGGGAACCTTGGTGCTTAGGGTGTTTAGGACTACTCTTGTATTCTTGGAACAAAAAGCTGTCAAGTGGGATTGGGTGAGAAATTTAAATGTGTGAAAGGATGGCTCTCTGCTTCCAGCTCATGTCACTATGTAAGACTTTTAAAATTTTTGATATTAAAACTGGGGGGGGTGTTTTTTATACCTGTTTCCGGTATTATAGACAAGAACAATGCAAGCACAGAGAAAAGGATTATGATGAACTGGAGGAACCTGAACTGGAGTTAAATAAAAAGAGAACAAATTAAGGGGCTGGGGATTTAGCTCAGCAGCACAGCGCTTGCCTGGCAAGCGCAAGGTCGTGAGTTCGATACCTGTTACCGGAAGTAAAAAAATACATGAAGAGAATAAACTAACCATGTGAGGCAGAGGTTGTCCATAAAGGAACCCCAGTACACAACTTGGCAGCAGTATATTATGAACAAACTATGAGGTGAAAAACCTACACAGTCTGGAAAGTACAAAAATAAGTGAGGGCAGGCTTATACTTAGCAGTTCTGGTTTTGATGTACTTAGATACTAAAATGATGTGTTCTGTAGCTGCAGAAGAGAGAGACACATTTAAAGGGATCAGGTGCAAAGGCGTACTGTTGGGAATGACTGTTTCAACAATTGAGTTTTCTGGAGAGGAAACATCATCAGTGACTGACATGGTCTGGGAAAACCCAAGAACTTGGTCACATAGTTTGTCCTTTTAAAGGTTGATCTTTTTCTCCAATAAGGAAAAAAATCAGCCGGACCAGTGTCAAGGGGCATTTGCATTTCTGGCTATAGTAGAGATTGTTTCAACTAAGAAAGTGAGTTTTAGTTGAATCCAGAGGCATCCAAGAAAACACTTTTCTGACAACTTGAAAGCAATTGAAAATTATACACTGATATGAAATACATTGCCAGTAAATGATTACATACAGATATAAGCTACTAAAGACCCTCATTTAATCAGTGTTGAATTTGACAGAATAACCATTTGTTGTGATGGAACACATGCGGTTTTTAAGGGTTTGTAAAGCCCTTGGGAGAGTAAAAACTGGCCAGACACTGTGAAAGATAGTTACATATCTGCTGTGGGATTAAGGTTTTATGAATTTATAGGTTACAGGTATGCAAAAGTTGCAAGTTTGAATTCGGTGTTCTCAAGAACCTAAAAGTAAGTCATGGGCTGTGGACATTCCTGAGATTAGTTGCCTAGTATGCGCAAAGCACAGGGTTTGATGCACGGGAGATAACAGGAAAGGAGTGACTTTAAATTACAGAGCCCTTAAAAGTGGTTAGATTAGTAGCTAAAGTTAGTTTTCGGTGTTTTGTTTTGTTTCCCCCACTGAGGTAGGTTCTAAGTTTCCTAGACTGGTTGGCTCGTTCTTTTCAGTTGTCCTGCTTCAGCCACCCAGGCTGTTTGCGATGTAGACATGCATCACCATGCTTGACACAGAGAAATAGTTCACTTGGGACTGGGTCTGTGGCTTGGTGATGATGAAGCCCTTACCTGACATGCACAAGGCCCTGGCTTCAATCTGTAGTAAGTTTCCTGTTTTAAATACGAAAAGACCCATCCAAGTGTTGGAGTAAAAGTGCTCTTGTAGATTAAGCATCTTCCCTTGTGATTTAAATTCTACTGGGAAAGCAACATGAGAAAAGACTATGTCATGGTATAATTGCCAAGCACAAAAGCCATGAAGAGTTGAGATTAAGATGATAGGCATCTGGTGGGAGGGGGTGGGGGACAGGAGGAAGGGTGAGGAAACCATTATCTGAAGGTATGAGAAAAATTCACTTATGCAAAAATAACTATAGACTTTAAGCAGATCTAAAAAGTTGTATTTAGTATCTTTAGATTTTTTTAAAAAATTAAATTTATTGGTACTTTTTTTCTTCATCTTTTTTTGGTCTGAGACAGCATCTCACTATGCAGTTGAGCCTGGACTTGCTCACTGTAACCCAGGCAGGCCTCAAACTTGGAATGATCCTCCTGCCTCAGCCTTCCAAGTGGTGGGATTACAGGCCTGTGCCACCATGCCCAGCTCTAAATTTTTAAAGTTGGATGAAGGTCTCGACTTGAGACATGCGTTAAAATTACCTTAGGGTGCTTTTAAAAATGATAAACAGGTATATACCAAATGTATGGGGCTGGGGATTTAGCTCAGCGGCAAAGCGCCTGCCTGGCAAGTGCAAGGTCATGAGTTCGATTCCTGGTACTGGAAGAAAAAAAAACAAATCTATGGTTGAGACTCATCAATAGTTTTTTTTTTGTTTTGTTTTGTTTTTCTCCGGTACCAGGAACCGAACTCACGACCTTGCGCATGCCAGGCAGGCGCTTTTGCCGCTGAGCTAAATCCCCAGCCCCTCATCAATAGTTTTCAAGTTCCTATATTTCTGACTTACTACTGAAGTAGGGAGCCATTTATCAGGTGAGACAGAAGTTTCCTTTGGTGAGGAGGAAGACGTTAGGTGGGTCATGGTGGAAAGCACACGGCTTTCAGAGCATTGTTCTAGTGTCCCTGGGTTACCTTCTGGTAAGGAAGTTAATGAAAGGACGCCTGTAGTTCCTAAGCTTAACTGTAACAGCTGATAAGGAGAGAGTCCTTAGGCATTCCAAAGTAAAAAGGATGTAGAGAGACATTGATAAGGTTAGAAGGTGAAAAGGCAAAATCCCTTGTTCTCTGAGGTAGGACGCAGTGTATTAAAGAGTTAGCCAAGCTCAGTTTACCAGTTGCTTTTTCAGACTGCCCGTAAAGCTTGGTATAAGCATGCATACGTTTTATAAGTGGACCGGTGTGATAGCTAGTGACGGTGATGGTATTAAAATGTGCTCAGTGTGATTGAATTAGTTTCAATTTTATTTTTAATTCTTTAGCTATATGTACCTACTTTGAGTAGCGTAGTACAAATAATAGAAATTTCTAGGCAAGTGCTTATACGTGGTTATACCTCATAACTTACATGAACAAATGTGACATTGAAGCTGTTGCATGTCCTTTGTTCACTGTAGTTTCTTAGCCTCTAGCACCTAGATCCTGGCGGTGAGGGATTTGCAGGAATGTCCATGTTGCCCACACCTTACTGCCTCTTGTGAGATAAACTTCCGAAGGAGGGATCTTGGCACTCGGCTCAGGCTCAAAGGTTATCCTCAAATGATGCTATGCAAACATTTAAAATCATAGGTTCTTAATATTTACTGTGATCATGTTAGGTATAGAAGTAATTACTATGTTTCAAAGGATTTGAAAGAGATCAGGTGTTTCCAAGTCCTCATGGTAGAGCCAAAATTTCAACCTGTGTTTTAACTTAGCCATGGATTTTGAATCTTAGAGCAGGAAACTAAGTTCAGAAGTATTGAGCCTGGGAGAGCGACTGCATCTCAGCACCTTCTCTCCAAAATGAGAAGAAACCTTCCCACAGTATGGAGCTTGGTTGCCCTTCCAAAGTGCGAAGACACAGGCTCTCCTACCCATGTAACTTAGCTCTTTCTGGGGCACCCAGATCGCCTATTTAAAACCATTTCTTCTGGCTCAGACAATGTTCTTGGCAAATATCTTGCCAAAAATCACTGTTACGTTCACAAAGTTCTCACCCTGTTCCTTCACACTTGCATGCTGGCCTAATGAGCAACCTGTGGTGTCTTTCAAGAGCTCATAGAATATGTGTCTTTCCCCAAGGGACTTTTAATGAGCACGGAGTTCCAGACCCACAAAAATAAACCAGTGTATTTGGAGCATAAGCCTTACTCCTCAAGTTGGCAGACCCAGGAATCAAGTTTAATGGCTCATCCATTTGCAGCTTATTCATAGGCTAATAGCATTACTAGTTCCATGCAAGCTTACGAATCTTCCTAAAGGGCTAGGGATATAATTCAATGGCACAAGCGCCTGCCTGGCAAGTGCAAGGTCCTGAGTTCAATTCCTGGTGCCAAAAAAAAAAAAGCTTCTTCACGACCATGGTCCTGTCTGTTCCAAATAGGTGCAATATAGTGTGGGATACTTGCTCTACACGCATAGATGTTTGAGCCCTCTTAGCTCTCCTTGAGGAAATTAGAGTGAGAGCTTTTAGTGGGGCTAGGTAGTCCACTAGATAACCAGCTGGGACCAGCTGCCAGTTAGACTTACCCAGGTGTACAATATTTGGCTTTCCTATTTTGGAACTTTCTGGGGTGTTTATTGCTAAGCCAAACAGTACCCTTTCCTAAAACTTTATATTCTTTCCACAAAAGTTGCTTCTCTAGCACCAGCTAAGTCATACCTAACAGTTTCAGAAGTAGCCATTGGGGTCAGGTTGCCAAGAAGTTACCTGCTTGTGTACCGCGGTGGTCTCTGTCCTTGTCCCTGGGTGTCCTGGACTGCTGTTAAGCTGTTTTCCTTGTAGGGGTATCCCAGCTCTGCTCTAAGCACCAGAAAGTATCTGGTAAAATCTAGTCACCGGAGAAGTCTACCAGTGTCCTTACTATTATGTGCCATCTCTGGAGACAGCCTTGTGTTACGGTTCATTCCCTCACTTGGGAATACAGTTTCCAGCAATGCGATTGCCCTATGACCCCTACATAGCATGTGGTAGGGCACATGGCAGCAGGACGGTGAAGCTTATGCTGCTTTGTCCTAAGCACCCTCCTGAGCGCAGAGATCTTGCCTACAAAGTATTAACCCTGCGACGGAACCTCACTTCTGAGTCAGCAAGCACTCAGCGGCCCTTTTCCCTCCATCTCTCCAGTCTAGAAACATCATCTTGGTGTCATGATAGCCTTTACAGGAACTTTTCATACTCACTCCTTTCTAAATTCAGTTTTTATTTTTGCCCCTCTTTTCAGTTTTGGGGGGAGTGTTATTTGTAATTCCATAGCTCCCCTCCTCCCCCTGCAGCTTTATGGCAATTCTCAATTTTCTTAAGGAATACTTGCACTAAACAGCTTCAGAATGCTCTGGGCACAATTTACACGCACTTGTCTTTTCTCCTAATGCACCAGAAAGCTAAACTTAATGCCCACTTTTTGAGGGGCAGGCTGCTGGAAATTAACAGGGGACCTTGTGCTTGCCAGGTAGGGGCTGTGCCGCTGAGCTGTATTCCGAGTCCTTAATGCCTGCTTTGAACAATGAGCGTACTGTATCTAGCTGGTACAGATGCATGTTTATGATTGCTGTGATCTGAGGTAAAGATGGCACATTTTACATGTACTGTTACGGTGTCTCCTGGATTACCTGTTGCATCATTTTATTTCTGTCCATGTTCACCTTTGGTCCCCATCAGTTACCCTCATCTTGCTCTGGCATACTGCAGTGGTCTTATCTGCCCACATGTACTCAGATCTCTGTAATCATTTGTTCATACCACAGCCATATTGATCTTTCCAAAGTACATATATCCTGGTAGTTTTTGGCTTAAAACCATTCTGGCTTCATTTGCTTTTAGAAGATAATGAGACATCCTAATTCTGAAAGGCCAAAGGCGGTCTGCCCCTTGCCCATGTGTCTTCCCTTACCCTGTGCTCCCTCGCTTTCCCTGTTACCACATTGGACCTCTCTCTGTCCCTCTTCACTCTCATGCACTCTCCCACCTTTCCCCATTTAGTTACTAGTTCTATTCATCCTAAAGATTTTAACATATGTGGCACTCATACGAGGAGCCTCCCATTTTTAAAAATTACAGCTCTACTTTGTGTGATTGGTTATTGTGTTTGTATTATAGTTCAGCAGGGACCCCGTCTCTTAGTGCTCGTTAAGGTATCCCCAGTACTCCCTGTGTCTGGAGATAGTACATGTTGGGTGGGTGTGTGGGACGGAGGAGGAGCAAACTGGGGAGGCTGGCCCTGGGCAAGGTGGCCTTGGAAATGGAAAGCAAGGCCGAGGAATTAACCTGTGCACCCCTGTGAGCTGGTGCAGAGCACTGTCGCTTCTCAGCTATGTCACGAGGTTAATTCTTCAGCCTTGCTTTCTAACCTAGGGCCTGTACATCTCCAGCCCTTTATATTATTTTCGAGACCACATTTCATGCTACAGGCTGACCGGGAAATCAGAGTGTAGCCCAAGGTGGCCTTGCTGTTAATCCTTCTGCCTCATCCCCAGCACTGGGATTACAGATGTGCGTCAACCACATCTACTATCTCAACCCTTTTTGAGACAGAGTCTTGCTAACTTACCCAAGTTGCCCTCAAGCTTATGATCCTTCTGCTCGTCCTCAGCTTTCTCAGGAGCTAGGATGACAGCTGTGTACCATATATATATCTTGGGTATCTATAGCTTGAAGATTTACCAAGAAAAGTGAATATGCCCGTTGAAACACTTCTCTGATAAACAGAACATGCAAACCTCCCTCATGCCTCTGTATTACTTCCGCTACATTGCCCCTCTGCTGTCACCATGGGCAGGTCTTGCACATATTTGAGCAACATGTAAATAGAAGAGTATTGATTGCACTGTTAATGTTTGGGCTAACCCTGAGAGCAGAGCTTGAGAAAAAGATGGATGCAGTAGTTCACTTGGGGGCGCAGGAGGGAGGAGGGAGAAAGGAGGTTGGGGCAGTTAGGAAAAACTAATATAAGGATATGTTGCTGATAGCGGATACAGAATACTTCCCCATTTGTCTGACAGATAAGAGAACTGGAAGTTGGAATATTTAACTACTAGCTTCTGTTCCCAACTGACTGAAGGATGCTGCACAATTCACTGCAGTTCTTAGCTATAACTGGTCTGAATAAGCTGTAGCTGCATTGAAAACTCGGATTTTCAGTTTGGCATAACACTACTATGAACCTTCTCACACATGCCTGTGAGAACGTTTTGTACATGCTTGTCTGTTGGGTCTATAAATCAGTGGAAATGTTGGGTCGTAGAGTATCCATATATTTAGCTTTAATAGATACTGCCAAACAGTATAAAGTGGTTGTATTATACTAACACATTCTTGTTAGCTACAAATGAACAATTCAGTTGCTCTACATTCTTTCTGGTTGATTCTTTTGACTTTAGGGTTTTGTTTTGTTTTGTTTTGTTTTTTTTAGACAGAGTTTTGCCATGGAGTTCAGACTGGCTTTGAACTCACTATGTAGTCCAGGCTGGCCTCGAGCTTGTGGTGATCCTCCTGCTGCCACAGCCTCCCTAGTGCTGGGATTACAGGCATGCACCACCACACCTGGCTAACTTTAGGTTTTTTAATGGGTGTGTAGTGTTACCTAATTTAGTGTGTGTTTGCTTTTTGGTAAGCTTTTTGTTGAAGTATAATTTCCATGAAGTGCACAAATCATGCATACAATTGTTAGTTTTCACAGTGAACACACACACGGCAGCAAGCAATCAAGATTGGAATGTCACCAGCACTCAGATCTCATGCATGCTCCCTTCCAGCTTCTACACCTCTAGTCCAAGGATATCTGTTACTCTCACTTCATAGATTGGTTTTGCTTATTCTTAAACTTCAAATAAATGGAGAAAAAGTTATTTGACTTCTTTGATTCAACACTATGTCTATATAATTCATCTGTGTTGTGTTGCATGTTGAAGGTGGTTTATTTGTACTGCTCTATATATGATTGCATTGTATACAATAGTTTATTCTGCTAGTAGGCATTTGAACTGTTTAAATTTTGGCTGTTATGAATAAAACTATGAACATCCTAGTGGTGTCTTGTTGAACATATGTGTATTTTTCTGTTGGGTATAGAACTAAAAATGAAATTACCAAGAAATGCCTTCACATTTGTCACCTCTCCTGGGCTATTTCAGTGTGCCATAGTATCACATTTTTTAAAAAATCTTTTTTTTTTTTTTTGGTGCCAGGAATCGAATTTAGGGCCTTGTGCTTGCCAGGCAGGCACTGTGCCGCTGAGCTACATCCCTGGCCCAAAGAATCTTTTCTTTATCCAAATAAGCTTTTATATGTTGGAATAATGTTAGGTTTACATAAATGTGGCAGACAGTATAGAAAGTTGCATTTTAAAAGGTGAAAGATTTATATGATCTGAAGAGAAACCAGAGTATGAAAGTTGCTTTTTAAAATTATTTTTTTATTTTAAAGATAAAAGAATGAAAACAATAACAAACAGATATACATTTACAAAATAACACAAAACAATACAAGCAACACTGAATTTCAGACAAGGTGATAGGAAATTAACAATGGTGGTTGTATTACATATTGATATCTTCAAATTGGTTACTCAGGAAAACAAATATAGACATGTAAGGTTGATCAAACAATTAAATGTTAACTGTTCCTTTCAATAAAGTAATAGAAGTCAGTAGTACAACTATGTTAGTTACGCTATGTATACATATGTACATAATTTTCCCCTTTTCTCTTTTCCCTCATCCCAGTTGTTCTTTATTTTTGAGCAGTTTCCTTTCGTTTCCCATTATCTATCATACCTCCTAATTTTTATTCACTCTTTCAGGTTCTTATACTAGTGAGACAATATGGTGTTTAGACATGTGGGCCTGATATATTTCACTTATGAGTATGGTCTCTAGTTGTGTTCATTTACCTGTAAAGTTTATCTTTCTTTATAGCTGAGTAGTACCCCGCATCCAGTTTCCTCTAACGTTAATATCTGAATGCTGACATTTGTCAAAACTAGGGAGCCAACACTGATACATTACTATTAACTAAACTTGGCCATATTCAGATCTCTTTAGATTTTACATGCACCCATGAGTGTATGTGCAGTTGTGTACTTTATTGCAAGAACAGATTCATGTGGTACCACCATAACCAATACACACAACTGTCCACTGCCAAAGAGCAATTCTTGTATTACCTGTGTGTTTGTCACACTCCATCATCCATCTTCTTGTCCCAATCCCTAAGCCCTGTAAATCATTCCTTCTTTTTTTTTTTTTTTTTTTTTGAGACAGGGTCTCACTATGCAATTCAGGTTGGCCTTGAACTCACTCTGTGGCCCAGGCTGGTCTCGAACTCATAGCATTCCTCCTGCCTCAGCCTGCCAGTGCTGTGGTTACGGGCCTGCACCACCATGCCCAGCACTGCCCCATACTACAGTTTTGATTCCCCCGCAGCCTCACCAACATTTGTTTTTGGTTGATTTATTGATGATGGCCATTCTTTCTGGAATGACATGGAATCTCAGTGTTGTTTTACTTTGCATTTCTCAAATGACCAGTGATGTTTAACATTTTTTTCTTTTTTTGGTGGGGGGCTGGTATCAGGAACCAAACTCAAGACCTTGCACTTGCTAGGCAGGCACTGTTCTGCTGAGCTATATCCCTGGCCCCTGAACATTTTTTCACATCTTTATTTGCTGTTTGTACTTCTCCCTCTGAGAAGAGTCTATTCACTTCAGATGCCCAGTTTTGGATTGGGTCTTTAAATTTGGGGTGGGTCTGGTTTTTTTGAGTTCTTTATATATTCTAGATGTTAGTCCTTTGTCTGAGGTGTAGCTGGTAAAAGTTTTGCTCATTCTATGGGCTGTCTCTTCACTCTCTTTGTAATTCCTTTCTTTTTTTGTCCTTGTGAGATAGGGTCTTGCTATGCAGTTTAGGTTGGCCTTCAACTCACTTTGTAGCCCAAGCGGGCCTTAACTTGCAGCAATCCTCCTGCCTCAACATCCCGGGTGCTGGGATTACAGGCATGGGCCACCATGCCCAACTTGTGGTTTTTGCTGTGCAACAGCTTTTTAATTTGATGTGATCCCAGTTACTGATTCTTTGTAATATTTCCTGTGCAACACAGGCATGGGCCACCATGCCCAACTTGTGGTTTTTGCTGTGCAACAGCTTTTTAATTTGATGTGATCCCAGTTACTGATTCTTTGTAATATTTCCTGTGCAAGTGGGATTTTATTCATAAAGTTTTTGCCTACACCTATGTCTTTGTATGTCTTCAAGAGTTTTTCCTATTCTGTCTTCTAGAAGATTAAGTCTTAGAAGGTCTTTATCTCAATCTTTTAATATTTTAGATTTTGATTTAATATTTAGATTTTGATTCATTTTGATTTTAGTTTAGTACGTGGTGAGAGATATGGGGCTAGGATAAATTTTCCGCATGTGGAAAGCCAGTTTTCTCAGCACCATTTATTAGCGAAGCTATCACTCTTCTAGTGAAGGTATTTGGCTCGTGTGTCAGAGACAAGGTGGCTGAGTGTGCATGGAGTTCTTTCTCCATCTTCCATGCTATTCCATTGACCCTTGTGTCTGCTTTGTTGCCAATATCATGCGCTTTACATCCCTATAGCTTTGTAGTATAACTTCAAGTCAAGGATGTGATGTCCCCTGCTTTGGCCTTGTTGCCCCAAACTGCTTTTGCCATTCTGGATCTCTTCTAGTTCCAAATGAATCTCAGGAATTTTTTCTCTAGTTCTGTGAGGTATGTTATTGATATTTTGATTAGGATTGGATTAAATCTGTATAAGAGTTTCAGAAGTATGGCCATTTTCACTATGTTGGTTCTTCCTATCCAGGAACAAGAGATATCTTTCCATTTTTTGATATCCTCTTTGATCTCCTTTTTCAGAGTACTGTAGTTTTCAGTATAGAGATCTTTTACTTCCTTTGTTAGATTGATTCCTAAACATTCCATTTTTCCTTATGCTGTTGTGAAAGGGGTTCTTTCCCTAATTTTTCTCTCAGTGAGTTTGTTATTTGTGTACAGGAATGGTATTGATTTTTGAGTCTTGACTTTGTGTTCTTCTATGATGGAGGATTTGATTATTAATTCTAGGAGGTTTTCGGTGCAGTTTTTGGGGTCTTCTTTGTAGAGTATCATGTCATCGGCAAATGATAATAATTTACCTTTCTCCTTTCCTAATCTTAGTGCTTCTTTGTTTCTCTCCCTTGCTAACTGCTCTGGCTAAAGTTTCCAGAACTGTGCTGAACAGGTGTGGTAGTAGTGGGTACCCTTGTGTTGTTCCTGGTTTTAGAGTGGAAGAGTTCAGTTTTTGTCCATTTAGAATGATGTTGGCTGTTGGTTTGCCATAGATGGCTTTGATCAGATTGAGATAAAGACCTTCTAAGACTTTCTATCTGAATGTTCTGTAGATTTTTTTTTTTTAATTATGAAAAAGCATTAGACTTAGTCAAAAGCTTTTTCTGTGTCTATTGAAATAATCTTATGGCTTTTGTCCTTGGTTCTATTAATGTGGTGTATTATTACATTTATTGATTTGCATATGTTAAACCATCTCTTCATCCCTAGGATGAATCCCACTTAGTTATAGTGTATCATCTTGACGATTTGCTGCATTCTGTTTGCCAGTATCTTAATGAGGATTTTTGCATCTATGTTCATTAAGGAGACTGGCCTGTAGTTTTCTTTTTTTGGTTGGATCTTTCTCTGGTTTTGGTGTCAAAGCAATGCTTGTTTGCAGGAATAAACTTGGGAGTACTGCTTTCCTTACAATTTCATTAAAGAGTTTGAGGAATAGTAGCATTAGATCATCTCTGAATTTCTTGTAGAATTCAACAATGAATTTGTCAGTATGAGAGCTTTTCTTTTTTGGTAGT